TTTACAAACATTAAAGCCGCCACGGCACGCGAGGGGGGTGGGTGGCCAGCACAACGCCCGACCGCCTTTGTCTCCCCAGTGGCGATATTTTACACACCGCACCGGGTACCCCATTTGAGGCTGAGTCGACCTAGGGTAGGCGCAGGACCGGTTCAGATAATCGTCACCGGTGTTGGCCGTGAGCGGGGATCGAAGTCGGGCACCCGGGTTCGTAGCGCAGCGTAGCGCTAACCACTACACCGCTGCTCCCTCCATAGAACAAAAGTAAACACACGCACGCCTGTGAACATACGTTCGATTGAAATTACCAAGGAATGGAACTTCCTCCAACGGAGAGACGGAGCGATGAAATCCGTTCCTTGTCACAGGTGCAGGGTGGTGCTCACAGCACTTGCCCCAAAGTTCTGTTACGGCTATACAGGGGTTCTTTGTTGTTGCATTGCAGGGTCGTGAGAGGTGGTGGAAAGTGGAGGGGAAGGGGAGGGGGTGATTTCCCCCACCGCCCCCTCGACCCTCCACGAGACCCCGAAAATTGGTATTTTATTGATATTTACCACATATAATGTATTGATTATATTTTATGGATGTAAGGGCCCTATTTAAAAAATATATATTTCAGGAATACCCCCCCCCCCACTCCGTCCCCCCTCCCTCCGTCCCCTCTCTCTCCCATCCTTCGGGAAGTTTCTAGATCCATCTCTGAGTGGCAGCGGTGGATTGGGGAGGCCTTCAGCCATCAGTGGATCGACCATGGCTGATGATGAATTGCAACGTTGATTCATAACACCTGTTAATAATACCCTTCGTGGACAGTGATAATTATTTCCATGCGTCAGAATATTCGTAAATCCACTGCTGGATGAGGGCCTCCCTATTGCAGTCGCTGGTCACGTGGGGGCGTTATCTGACCATACTTCACCACGTGGGTCAGCTCGGGTTAGTGAAGGCGGAACAGCATAGACGTAGGAGCATCGAAGTACAGTCCAACAACGGCTTTTTTATGCACAGCCCACAATTATGTCGGCTTGCATTAACATCCATTGTTGTACCGTACTTCCATGCCCCCAAAAAGAGCCGTGCCTAGGGTACGGCGAACCGTGGGCGACTGCCCCGGGCCCCGTGCTTTGGGGGGGGGGGGGGTATCCCACAACCTTTCTATGGACGGTCCTGCCCCCAAGTCAAATGTGCCACTCCTTCAACCAGCACTAACCAGCACTAACTAGCACTAACCGGGGTGCTGAGATGTGGTCTGGTCAAATAGATCCCTCCTATGGATCTACACGACAGTGGCAAGGTCCTGGCTCCATCCAGCAGTGGACTGAGCAAACGGGCTGCTGCATGCTACGCGTCCTATTGTTGACGTGTGTTTTGGTTGACGTTTCTGTTGTTGTTGTTTTTCCGGCGCACGGGAGCCGTAAACGATATGCGTGACTCATGGAATTTAACAAGAGGCAATAGTGGTGGGCATTTTAATACACGTGATGTTCTTTGGATATTTCGGGAAAGCCACGTAGATATTAAAAAATAATCAAAATAATAACAATATCACGACGTTTCGATCGCAACACAAGCAATCGTCTTCAGATGAAAAAAAATATATATCAAGTTAAATTTATATTTTTTGGAGAGGCCAGAAATAAAATGAGATATTTTTTTTCTTCCAAAATAGCAAAGCGGAGAAACAAAACGTGCGGCAACGATGCAAAATAGAAAATTGTGAACACATACACACACACAGCGGCTAATTAGGCAGCTAACGGCGCCCGCGTGCTAGTTTGGTCACGTTGTTGATAATTACTATCATTTATATTCTTACGACGCTGGTTTATCCAGGAAAAAAACAGAATGTATTTATACTCGAGGAATCCGATGAGCTATGAAGCTTTTTTTTGTTCACAGCTATTTCCACGTAAGTCTCGCTGGGTCTCAAGGCTCTTTCTGGTCAGGGATGTTCCTGCCCAGTTGAGTAGCGGTAGGGGGCGATGTTTGCCGCTGTGTCTGTGATTCCAATTGAGTGATTTGCAGGTACATTTTTTTTCGTCTGTGTGTTAGGCATTGGTGATGCTTGGACTAATACCGGTTTACACGTCGTGTGTCATTTGCTATTTGCTCGGTTGTTTTACATCGTAATGGTGTTTATGGAAGGATCAGAGGGATCAAAGAGTTTATGTAACAAACACTGACGAATAACGTGAGCGAACATTTACAATTCTGCAACCTCCCTCCCTCCCCGCCCTCCACCCACCCACCCCAAATTCAATTCCTGATTAAGCTCCCAGCACGTGGAACGAAACGTCTAACATGAAGCCGGACAACAGCTGTGGTGGTGCTGGTGGTGGTGGTGGTGCTGGTAGTGCTGGTGGTGGTGGTGGTGCTGGTGGTGGTGCTGTTGGTGGTGGTGCTGGTGGTGGTGCTGGTGGTGGTGGTGCTGGTGGTGGTGCTGGTGGTGGTGCTGGTAGTGCTGGTGGTGGTGCTGGTAGCGCTGGTGGTGGTGGTGGTGCTGGTGGTAGTGCTGTTGGTGGTGGTGCTGGTGGTGGTGCTGGTGGTGGTGCTGGTGGTGGTGCTTGTGGTGGTGCTGGTGGTGCTGGTGGTAGTGGTGGTGATGGTGCTGGTGGTGCTGGTGGTCGTGCTGCTGGTGGTGCTGGTGGTGGTGCTGGTGGTGGTGCTGGTGGTGCTGGTGGTGCTGGTGGTGGTGTTGGTAGTGCTGGTGGTGGTGGTGGTGGTGCTGGTGGTGCTGTTGGTGGTGGTGCTGGTGGTGGTGCTGGTGGTGGTGCTGCTGGTGGTGCTGGTGGTGGTGCTGGTAGTGCTGGTGGTGGTAGTGGTGCTGGTGGTAGTGCTGTTGGTGGTGGTGCTGGTGGTGGTGCTGGTGGTGGTGCTGGTGGTGCTTGTGGTGGTGCTGGTGGTGCTGGTGGTGGTGGTAGTGGTGGTGATGGTGCTGGTGGTGCTGGTGGTGGTGCTGCTGGTGGTGCTGGTGGTGGTGGTGCTGGTGGTGCTGGTGGTGCTGGTGGTGATGGTGCTGGTGGTGCTGGTGGTGGTGCTGCTGGTGGTGCTGGTGGTGGTGGTGGTGGTGGTGCTGGTGGTGGTGGTGCTGGTGGTGGTGGTGGTGCTGGTGGTGTTGGTGGTGGTGCTGGTGGTAGTGCTGGTGGTGTTGGTGCTGGTGGTGCTGGTGGTGGTGCTGGTGGTGCTAGTGGTGGTGCTGGTGACGGCGTCACTCGCCACTGACGTGAGCCGAGCAAGGAATAGACGTCGGGGCCGCCACCTGTTCGATCTCGATGCAGTCGCCGTTTGCGCTTCGTGTGTTTTTCTCCTTGCGTGCTCCCGCTGTGGTGAATGTGGCGGCCTCTAGCGGCTGCTGGGAGGGGGGGGGGTCGAACCCAATAATCGATCCACATACGCAACCGGCACTCACCAATGTGTCCAAGTGATGGTGACGACGACGATGATGATGCTGATGGTGACGATGCTGATGATGATGCTGATGATGACGATGATGATGATGCTGATGATGGTGACGATGCTGATGATGATGCTGATGGTGACGATGATGATGCTGATGGTGACGATGATGATGCTGATGGTGACGATGATGATGATGACGATGATGATGGTGATGATGGTGACGATGATGCTGATGACGATGATGCTGATGATGATGCTGATGGTGACGATGATGATACTGATGGTGACGATGATGATGCTGATGGTGACGATGATGATGATGGTGATGATGGTGACGATGATGCTGATGGTGATGATGCTGATGATGATGCTGATGGTGACGATGCTGATGATGATGCTGATGGTGATGATGCTGATGGTGACGATGATGGTGATGATGCTGATGGTGATGCTGCTGATGGTGATGGTGATGCTGCTGATGGTGATGATGATGCTGATGGTAATGATGGTGATGCTGCTGATGGTGATGATGATGCTGATGGTGACGATGATGCTGATGATGTATGTTTACCCCGAGCTCGCAGCACGGACCCGTGCGTACAGAGTTGGGGGCGGGTGGGGGAGGGGTTGCGCGGGGGGGGGGCGAGATGCGCTTCAGTGACGTCATTGAGGGGGAGCCACGCGTCCTGTCGAGAGGCGGGGCGGGGGTGATCGTCGCTGTGGACAGAGGGGAGGGGGGTGGACAGAGGGGAGGGGGGTGGACAGAGGGGAGGGGGGGGTGGAAAGCGAGAGGGAGAGAGAGGATGGGGTTGTGGCCTGCAGAGGAGGAGGTTGTGGCTGGAGAGAGACTGGAGGAGGTTGTGGATAGCGAGAGAGGAAAGATGTTGTGGCTGGAGAGAGAGGCATGGATACGAGGTTGTGGCTGCAAAGGGACGGCGGGAGGAGGCGATTGTGGCTGGAGAGAGATAGAAGGAAGTGGGTGGCTGTAGAGAGGAAAGATTTTGTGGCTGGAGAGAGACAGGAGGAGGTTGTGGATAGCGAGAGAGGAAAGATGTTGTGGCTGAAGAGAGGCAGGGATACGAGGTTGTGGCTGCAAAGGGACGGCGGGAAAGAGGAGATTGTGGCTGGAGAGAAATAGAAGGGGGTGGGTGGCTGTAGAGAGGAAAGATGTTGTGGCTGTAGAGAGGAAAGATGTTGTGGCTGGAGAGAGACAGGAGGAGGTTGTGGCTGAGAGAGAGAGAGAGGAGGCGGTTGTGGCTGGAGAGAGGGAGGGGATGGGAGTTCGACTCGCTCTCTCACTCTGCGCACACACGGGTGGACAGCCGGGGCGGGCTGGGTGGCGGGGTGGGTGGGTGGTGGTGGTGTGCGTATTGGTGGGGGTGAGCGGGCATGCCGGAATGAACTGGGCTGGGCTTGCTATGGGAGGTTGGGCTACGTTACAGCAGCAATGCATGCGGGCGTTGGTGCATGAGTGGTGGTGGTGGGGGGGGGAGAGATGAGTTGGGGGGGGGAGGAGGAGTGGGGGGGGCGTGACGTGCGCACCACGTTATCGGGGCAGCCCAACGCGGCTCGTGCTGCGGTGATTCTATTTGAGCTGCGAGCGAGGCGACGAGCTGGGCAGTCGGTGGGCGAGTCGAGATCACGCGGCACGGAGAGAGAGACAGCGAGAGAGACAGAGAGAGAGAGAAGCAGCAGAGAGAGACCAAGCCGCGCGCAGTGGCTGGAGCGAGGTGGTGAGGTTATCGAAGGGGACATTACCGCAACCTTCTTTGCTTTGATCGGCACTCGAATCATCTTGGTCGTCTTGCAGCACCACCGTCGTCTGCAAAGTCGTCGTCGTCGTCATCCACCACCACCACTCCTCCGGCGTCTGAGACCCACGGATGTGTTGCCGTGGGAAGCTCTCGGTGAAGAGTGTCCCGTGCTCCGTTCGCAGAAGCAACAGCGGCTGCTGATTTATCTCCGAAGCCTCAAGAGCTGAGCGGAAGACTCAACGTTTGTTTATTTTCTTTGCAAACATATTCGAGATATACTAGCCCAAGCATTTGTAGTTGAAAAGTAGACCTCGTGCGTTTTTTTGTTATTTTTTTTTTGCACCAAGTCGCAGCAAAGCGAGACACACCGATTCGCAGTCCTGCCCTCCCCCCCTGCAATCGTTAGCGAAGTTACCCGGACGTCGCGGCTACTTTACTTTCTCACTCTCTCCTCCCATCCTCTTACATTTGACTTTTGATTCCGGATTTCTGCGTGTGTTGGGAGTGGGGGGGGGCAAGAAGGAGCGTGCTACGGAAAACGCCAAGAAGCCCTTTAATCGAGTGTTCCAACCCACCCCATACGAAGACGAAAAAAACCCAACAACTCCTGAGTCGGATCTTCGGAGCAAAAGAGGGACCCCCATCCCCTCCCTTCACGGTGAGTACCGCAACCTTCCACGTCCCTGCACCACCACGCCGACTTGCACGCTTGCTCGGACGAAAGCCACCCCGACGGCGCCGTGCCCTGCTCGTTTTGGCGTGGGAGAGGTCTCGTTCGGGGCCGGTGAGCTCGGGGCTGGCAAAGGCGAGCGAGCGTAGAGCCGCATCTGTGCGCGCGCGAATTCGAGATCCTCTGCTGATCCGACTTGAAAACGTGGGTGTGCTAACCGCTGCGCCACCGCTCCGTTACCCATTCCCCCCCCCCCAACGCCAACGTGGACATTGCGTCGCAATGCGACCCTGACTGATGACTTTATTCGAGGAACTAGTCGATTATATTTCACGGTGGTGGTGATCGTAATGTGATCGGCTCTAATGTAGGACGCGGGCAGGTTGTAGTATTGTAACCGGAGCGGTGGTGACCATCGGCATAGTAAGAACTAGGCTAGCGAGAAATGTCCTTTATTTTACCCAGGGAAAACCTCCCAGGGTGCCAAGTCTCAGGAGAGTACTGCTGCAATTGGGGATGCTCGGTCAATTCCGTTGATGTGAGTTTGGCTTCACGTGGCAAGAGACACGGAGATATGGGCTGACACTCTATAAACTAAAATACAATTTTTTAACCAAATGAGGCCCACTGAGCTATAGCGTGGCTCTTTTTCAGAAGCGACTTGGCCACAAATGATTGTTCAACGAAGTGGCTGATCGTGTGGACATTTATAGCCTGCAAATGTTCTAAACGCGTGACGTTGATTCGAAATGTTGGAGGGGGGGAAAAAAACGGAGGACCCGGAGACAAATCCACGCGACCACAGGGAGCGAGAGAGAGAGACACGCAAACTCCAAATATACAGACATCAGGGTCTATGATCGAACCCACGACCTCTTGCATACCAGGCGAGGTCGTTAACATCTCGCCACCGTGGCACCCCCACTGGAAAACTCTCCGCGCAGATAGTTTCGATTAAAGAACACGGTTCTACATTCGATATATATCATCGCCACCTCGCGGCGCGAAGGTCTGCATGCGATAACATTTCATTTCCAGGCAGTCCGTCAATCTTAACAGCGATGCTCGCCAGGTTGCAACCCTGCTTAGGTTTCCGCGTGTTGCTCGCAGCAAATCGATAGCGCCAGCTGCGCGCGTTATCACGCATGTTCCCACAGCGATGTGAAATCGATTACTTTTGATGATAGGATCATAAATACATCAATTTTGTTCAGTTCGCCACGTAACGGGGGACTAGGTGAAGCCCTGTTGCGGCAGCAGCGGTGAGCGCACTGCGCTAAGAACCTGCACAGGCAGCGATCCGACCGAGTGAAATCCTATACCCGCTCAGAGCTATTTGCATCGGCGGCTCGGGATATATGAACCAGGATCTGGTCACTCTCCAGCCCGCCCCGACACCATCCCTTGCACACACGCACGCGCGTACCAGCGCGGTGAAGTATGGTCAAACATCCTCCACGACCGGTAACGCCGTGGGGATGAATTCCCTTCATCCAGCAGTGGATCGACAAGGGACTGTAAATAATTGTTACCTTTTTTGGGGGAGGGTTTGTTTAAAACGGCAAACTAGAACTCTGGTTACCGGCAACACGATGGATGTGAGGTGTGGCGAGCGGGCATTGTCGGGAAGACGCAGGCTGTTGACGAAGAAGAAAAAAGAATTCACAATTTCACGAGCAAGTGAAATATAAATTCCAGCCATTCTCAATCCACCGATGGGTGAAGTTAGACCTCCCCCATGTCTTGCCGCTACGGTGAAGGCGGGAGAGTTGATCATACTTCACCATGCTGGCAAAAGGGGCATGTGGGTGGGGTGAGTGCCCTGATCTGCTCTGATATAAACTCGCCGCTACTGCTGACGTTACAGCCGCAACCGGGAAATGTTGAACTCGTTTGTGGGCCGGGTTGGTGACTACAAATGCGCTAACCACTTGGCCCACCGCTCCCCCTCCCCTCCACTTGATATACACGATACTAAATCGACTTGCGCGCACTTTGGACTGCCCCTAAGACCACTACCACCGCCGCCACCACCTGTGCAGGGCAAGCGCTAGCAGTTGAAGTGCAAATTGCTGATGCGGTCATTGACCAAGAATACCTTCCCGACAGCTGGAGAAAGGTTTTTATTTTAGATGTCATCGCCACTGGGGGGATATTGAACGCGCACACGCGTGTAGCAGAACGGTGAGAGATTGTTGAGGCTTGCCGGAGGCCTGAAATCCAGCAGTGGATTGATCATGATGATGATAATGATGATTGCTACGTGCAGCTCGTTATTGCCAAACCACTGTCGGTGTTGTATATTCTCTCCCCGCCTTTGTCGGGCGTTGCGGTTATTTTTGACCATACTTCACCACGCTGGTCGGTGAATGCGGCGTGCGAGGCGTGGATGTGGACGCATAGAAGTGGAGTACAGCAAATGATGTTTTAGAGTCGATGGGACATTACCCTGGAAACTGTCCGATGGCAATGCCACGTTTGCTTATGCTGTGGTTCTTTCGGTAAAGTCACGGGGATAGAAAAAATAATAACAATTAATGAATAAAAAATAAAGTGAAAAAATAATAATAAAACGTTTGCTTCTGTAAAAAAAATAATTGTTGATCCACTGCTGAATGAAGCCCCCCCCCCCACACACGCCCATCTCATGGGGGGGTTCTTTAACCATACTTCACCACGCTGGTCAGTGCCGGTTGGTTGAGGAGGGCGGGCGGGCGGGAGGGGGGGGGTAGAGGAGGGGGCCCGCTGTGAACGGGGCCAATTTCACCCACCCACTGAAGCCAGCCGCTGCCGGGAATTGAACTCAGGTGGCGGTCCAGCTGTTGCGCAACTGCGCGTGTTTACACTGAGCGGTCACCATGAGATAATGTAATAAATAAATATGTCCTTTGTATCTTCACGTTAAATATACATTATTCTTGTTCAGCCTCTCGGTCTATTTGCCTTCCGGCTTTCTTATAATCGTGATTTAGTATTGTTTAAGCAAACCTCGGGGGGGGGGGCAGTTTTCAACGTGCTCTTAGGCTGTGGGGGGCTGTGGGGGGCGGTGGTGCAGCGGTTAGCGCGCTGCGCTACGAACCTGGCGACCCGGGTTCGATTTCCGCTCAACGGCCAACACCCAGTGACGATTATCTGAACCGGTCCTGGGCCTCCCCTAGGTCGACTCAGCCTAAAATGAGATACCTGGTGCGATGTGTGAGCATCGCCACTGGGGAGACAAAGGCGGCCGGGCGTGGTGTTGGCCACCCCATCCCCTCGTGTGCCGTGCCGGCCTTCATAGGTGCTCGCTCACAGCACTTGCCCCTACCGTCTGTTAATGCTATACGGGGGGATCTTTATCTTTTTTGTAGCCGTGGGGGGGGGGGGGGGGTTGATTAGTGACAGCCGTGGTGGGGGGGGGGGGTCCCTTGTCTTACTTGTGAAGTGACTGACTCGGGTCGTGGTGGAAGTGTGATGCTGCATCGTTCGCCACCCGTGCAGGCGATTTAACTCACGCTGCTGCGTACAATTGCAGGTGAAGTTGTTTTCGCGTGCTTGCGAGTGCGTGTTGTTACCACCACCCGTACAACTTTATTCGAGGCACGTTCACGCGTTGATCATCTGGGTGGCATGATACAGGGTGGCAGGACGGGGGGGGGGGGATATTAGCAATGGTCCCCCGCTGTTATGGGACGTCAATTATCTCTGGAGCGGCCTTGCTGCACGGGGGGCTACGTACGGTGCGAAAAAAGTTCAACATACTTACAACTTAAACTAAACTACATTTTTATTTTATTTTACAAGCTAAGGCCCACCGAGCTATCTAGCTCTATTCTTAGAAGCCTGTCACAAACGGATAGCCCAGATTAAGTGGCTTATCACGTGGGAATTCATAGCACACAAGTCGAAGACTCTAAACTTTGCGTGACGTTAATCTCTAAAAAATGTGGAGGGCAAAAAGCGGACGACCCCGGAGAGAGACGCCGCAAACTCCAAACACACAGCAGCAGCAGGAAGTCGGGGGTTCGGGATCGAGCCCACGAACCTCCTGTATACCAGGCGAGGGAGTCAACATCTCCAACGTGCATGGCAGCGGCCCGTGTCCGGGTCAGTTGCGAAGCGTCGGGACCTCTGCCGGGAGTCGCGACTTGTGCAGCCCTCGCGTCTCTGCTGCCCAGCCTGCCCCAGCCTGCCCCAGCCTCGGTGTTGTGTTTGATATCTTGACGTGCTAAAGCGACGCACCATCCCCACAATACCCCGGGCACCCCATTTAAAACCGTGCGTCTCGTCCAGTGGCCCTCGATCACTTTTGCTCCTGCGCCCCCCCCCCAATAATCGACTCCCCAGCCCCCCCCACTCATAGCATCGTGTGTGTTTCGTCGCCGAAAGGTGACGGCCGAACGAGCCCCCCCCGACACAAGCCCCCGGGGTTGGCGAACAACGATTTGAGAACTGCAGGGCTTTGTCATAGGCATTTATTAATTTGGAAGATTCGTTTTTTTGTTTAGGGGGGTGGGAGTGGTGGGGGGGAGGCGAAGAGCCTACTGGACATCTGTGAAAAAGGATATTTTATAGCTCATCGGATTCCTCCAGTACAAATATTCTGGTTCTGCCAATTTCGGGAGGGTCACCGCAACTCGGCGAGCGACGCTCGCGCGCGCCCTTAAAGGCGCACTTCCAAAAGCTGCCTCTGCTTCCGCAGCAGCATATGGCTTTTATATTCATATAAATATCTTTCGGGCATTAACCGCACATAATCCGTCCAGATTTATAGAAAGGACGTAGTCAAGAGTTTTATTTATTTATTTCTACGATGATCAGAAGCTGGCGTTACCCCGAGAAAGAAATAAACGCGAACCTCATGCGAGAACAAACTAAATAAATATTCCACCGACTAAGAATTTGTGAATGCAAAGCACGTGCCCAAGATTATCTCACACGGGAGATCGAGCGGGACAAACGACCTTTTTTTTAGTACCAGGTGTCATCGCCGTTAATCACTCTTTAAC